TTGCCGTCAATTCATGCGCAGAGTATGGGTAAGCAAACCTGCATACACACACACACACACACACGTACAGACAGGAGCAGTGATTGTATCTGCTAATGGTGTGGTCCATGTGTGTGTCCCGTCAGGGTGTCTCTCCGTCACGACGTCACCGTCCGTTGACTGTGGGTCGCGCTTGATGCTGTGCGGCGACATTGAGCCGAATCCTGGCCCGATGCACCCGACCTTCGCACCTCACTCGCCGCTGTCATGGCCGCCAGGTGCCCTCCCGCCGCCACCGCCCAGGCCATTGCAATATGGCGGGCAGCACGCAGCAGGGCATCAATCCTGCTACGGGCCTCCAATGCCGCCACCGCCAGCAGCTGCCAGCGTCCAGCAAGGGACTGCGGTCTGTGATGACGCAGCGAGAGCGCAGGCCCAGTACGCGAAGAGGCTCGCCAACAAGAGGCTCGCCAACAAGCGGAAGAATACAGACGTCGACGCGGCGCGCATGCGTGACAAACGGCGCAAGGATGCCGGAAAAGAGAGGGCGACGCGCGTCACGCGTGTGGAGAGGCGAGCGTCGATGGAGGCGGCCTTCGTGGACATGTTCCCGTACGGCCACTTGCCGAGCCTTGCAGTGGACCAGGAGCTGGCCGATGAGGATGAAGAAGGATTGTGGGACAGCATGTACATGCGCGTCCACCAAAACATGACCGACTGCCGTGCGGCGCTCGACGTGGTGGTCCATCGCAGAAAGGCGTGTGCTGTTTGCGGCATCAACTGGCGCGTGGGGCAGCAGGGGAGGCCGGGTGAGGGAAAGAATGAATGTGCTGGTGATGACGGCGGGCGTGGCCAGATAGTGTTCGCCCCTGAGGGACAAGAGATGCCGGTCTCAGAGTTCAAACAGCTGGCTGCGAAGATCAAGATGCCTACCTGTGGATTGTTCGATGCGAGCACCATGAGCAAGCCAGAGCTCCGACACACATCCGCGAGTGCAACACTGTTTTCAAGACGGCTGACGTCCCGCTCGCATCTGCGGCATTCAACCAGCAGACACAGCAAGTGGGGTGCTGCTTCGAGTGCCTGAAGGCGTTGAAGC